CGGCTCTCAACCCAACCCCCCACCCCACCGCCCCCACAATCTTTTCTCTTTTTTTTCCTCTTCCAAGGTGCAAGTCATTTATTTTATTGCCACTTTCGCCCCAGCTTCTGTCTCCCTCTCTCGTGCTCTCATTGTGCCTCTCTATTTCTCTGCCTCCCTCTTTTTTTTTAGTTTATTTTTGCCCTGCTTGAGTAGACCAGAGAGAAAGTGAACAAGGTGGAAAAAGAGAGAGGAGGGGGCTCTGAGACAAGGGAGGGAAGGATGAACCGGATGTCTGGGGTCTCTCTCGGCAGGATTAGGAAACAGAGAATGAGGGATTGGGTGGATGGAGAGACGAGTAGAGGAAGGGATAGAAGGACAGGCTTGAATAAATAGAGAAGTGGGTTGTGATGTAGGAAATAGGAAGATAGTGGGGAGCAGAGGGAGGGAGTGTGGGGAAAGGAAGATATGTCAGAGAAAAGGGGGTAGCCAGGCAGCTGAAGGGGGAGAGAGAAAAAGAGTGAAGGAGGGAGGCAGAAAGAAGGAGGCAGGGAGGAGAGTGTGAGTGCATGGACACAGTGGGGATACTATTTATGCATGTGAGAGAGACAGGGGATCTACACATGTGCACACACTCTCTTGCATGTGTGTGTGTTTGAGAGAAATTAAAATTCATGACTCTCTCTTCACAACCATTTGAGTAACAAGATTAAGATGGCGGGTTAGAAAATAGCGCTGGCATTATCAGGCTGCTTGCAGTCCCTCCAGCTGCTTGCCTCTCTATTCCACAACAGTGGGGATAAGAGGATAACGCGCTAGCCCTGTCTGCCCGTCCCAGCACACGCCTTACACTCACACACACACACAGTTCTTAGACACACTGGGCCTGCCTGTTGTCTGCCGTCCCTCGAGTGTGTTTGTGTCAGAGGGCGAAAGTGTGTGTATGTTTGGAAAACTGCAGAGTAGCGAGCTGGGGGTCTGGAGATGGTTTGTAAAGAATTGCTAAAAACACTCTCTCGTTTTCACACTAACACACACACAAAGCAAACATTAAGACAGGCAGTATATTCCAAACAAAATCAAAACTGACACAGCGAGGGATGCCAGCATACTCGCAGCTACCAGGGGTACGTTTGTTTAACAGCATCTGTGCCAGATGGAGATGCTTGTGAGTCGCTATGGAAGCAGGAAAAGAAGTAAACTCGGCCTAAACAACGCATGTGGAAACTAAACCGACTACAGGATAATGTTGTGTGGCTGCGTGAAAGTTTGGGTTTTGATTGGAGTGTGCTGTTTACTTGACATCAGGGTTGGGAGATAATTTAAATATCAAGTCGTGGCTTTTTTTTGTGGTGTCACATCATATTTTGTCAAGTTTTGTCTGAAATACAGTAGAATACAGTTTATTTACATACATTATTAATTAATAAGATTATTAAACATGGGATACATACATTGGCCATATAATAATAATAATAATTTGTAACATTGAAGGAATTTCCTCACTGATTTCAACCATATTGCCCTGTTGACACCCTCAAGTCAGACATGTTTGACAACACTATGCAGTGGCCTTCCTCTGCCTTGTATGTTAAATTTACATCAAATTTCAGAATTTGTTGAGTTGCTTCTACATTTTAAGTAAAAAATATGTTTATATGAAATAAACCAACAAATACTTTTTATTATTTTTCTTAAAAACACATCATAAATTACTGATGAAATGAATAGATCAATGACACATTTTAACACTTTACCCCAAAATGTTAAATGTTTATTTAAAAAAGTGATGGATTTTAGCAATAAACACAATGTAATTAAAGAGGCAGTGAGAGTAAAAGTTAATTACATAGTGTAACATTAAGCAGGTGTTTACTTGCAAACCAGAGACATTTTAACAGCTCAAACTCTCAGTATTAAAAGAATAACATATAGGCTTTTCAGTTATACACCTGCTTTTGGTGGAGACGTCTTTGATTGTTTTAATCCGCAGTGAAAGTAAATCCATAGAGTGTGTTCTACTGTCGGTTCTGATATGCATTTTTCTTGTGTTGTGATCCACCCACTGAAAGTAAATATAGCTGAAGAAAGCTAATCTGTAGTGCAAATGAGTAGCAGCTGCTCATTTGGATGTGCATGCGTGTGTCTGTGCGTGGTGGTAGTGTATGTTTCGCTGTGATATCATCATGTGGTGTGTGCGTTTGTGTGTAATGTCTAGCCAATATGCTGTCTGAGTGATGTCTGGTCTGTGTGGGATTGTGATCTAGCTTGTTTCTTAGCTGTGTGCACAGTGTGTGTGTGTGTGTGTGTGTGTGTGTGTATGTGGAGAATGGTCAGTCAGGCACATACAGGCACACACACAGAAAACCCACACTGGGCTTGTTCAGAGTGTTCATCAGAAGATAAGCAGAGGAGACTTAATCACCTTCAGATGTGAGGGGGGCACTTCAACTTGTCCTCATATCCACACGCAGCACCTGACCCCACTGTGTATGTGTGTATGTGTGCATGTGTGACAGTGTGTGTGTGTATGTATTAAACAGATAGAAGTGTGCATTTCAAGAGTGAGCTGACCGGTGTGACAGTCCCCTTGCATGTCAAAAAAATTTAATAAAAACCTGCATTATTTCATGGTGATATTTATATAAATTTTAGTCTGAATTTCACCGTTCACATTGTACACATTCTGTTGTCAAGAAACCATCACCAAAACAGGTCTGAGTGGCAATTTTCCCAAGCGGTTGAGGTGCTGAACCATTAGGATTATTCAATGACTGTATTCTGTGGCCTTGAGGCCCAATCAATTCCTCCCGCAGCTTTTTCAAACCAAGTTGTATTTCTTTTAAATTTAAGGCAATGGCAGCATCCACTTTAATCCCACTAAAGGTAGTTCTTTCTTTCTGTCCCTCTTAACTACTTTCTGTTTCTATTTCTCTCCTTTCTTCCTTCCATCCTTCTGAGTTTTCTAGAATTTTGTGTCCATTTTCTAAAGTGACTTTAGCTCTTCTTGTGTTGCTCCCACTCCACCTGAAGCCAAAACCACCCACTGTAACGATTTTTTATTTGAAGCCATGCCTGATAAATTGAACCTACTTTAGGGTTAGGGTTAGTGTCTGCTCAAAAATCATCTATGTTGTTCCTTTCAGATGGTTTGCCTATTTATATATATTTTTACCCTTATCTGACATATTCTTAAAGCCAGTGTTCGTCCATTTGCTTCACAGTTTAACTTACAGGGGAAACTACAAAGTAGAATATATATATATATATATATATATATATATATGAAAATGTAAGAGAGATTGGGATTTGAGTTCAGTGTCCCAAGTGGACTTTAGGCTGCTAAAAGACTTGATTAGGGTTATGGAAAGGTGCTGGTTTTGGGTTTTGCTGAACAAGTAAATTTGGCCCGTCTTATGCATGGACATTTTAATATTTAACCAACACCATGATCTTTCCTTGACCTTAATAAAAGTGCTTTCCTTGTCCTAAATATAATTTTATCTGATATTTTAGGGAAAATAATTCACATACAGTATGGTATATTGACAATGAACAGTTTCCTTGTTATGTTGATAAAAAAAAAAACCTTTCCAAAACATATTAGTTGTATATTAAAAGGACCAGTTTATAGGATTTAATGGCGCTACAGTTACAGATTAAAACCGTCAACTTACACTACCATTCCAAGTGTGAAGGAAAGACTACAGTGGCCGTGAAACTCATTAAAAACCTAAAAGGCCCTATCTAGAGCCAGTGTTTGGTTTGTCCGTTATGGGCTACTGTAGAACATGGCAAACTCCATGGAAGGCGACTCACGGTGTCTGTAGATAAAAACGGCTCATTCTAAGGTAACCAAATCACAACGATTCCTATATTCAGGTTATTATAAACTAATAAACATACGAATGAATATTATATTCCATTTCTGCCAATAGATCCTCCTAAATGCTACACACCTGGACCTTTAAGTCAGCCCACCTTTGTAAATTCGTGCTCACCCTGAATGTGGTTTGAAAGGGTCCAGATTTGTTAGTGATTGTGAATGCAAAATTTTGTGAAGAACAAATAGAGAAGGGGAGAAGCAGTGAGATTTTCCTTCTGAGGTTCAGGCCACTTTAACAGGCACTTTAATGGCCAGTCTACCCAATTGTCCCACCAGTGTAGGTGAATGTGTGTGCACCAATTTAGCCCGTTCCGTGCTGTCCTGTTCTTCTGTAGCTCTGTGTGTGTAATGGAGTTAACAGCTGGACACCACTTCTTTTAACACTGCCTACTCATGTGGTTTCTGTCGCTCCTTTTCTCTTTTTCACTGTCCTTTCCTCTCCTTCACTCACTCGGTTTCTCTCGTGGTGCCAAGTTAAGGCAGCTTGTTTTAGCTTCCGTGCGTCTCTATATAAACATCAAATGACAGGCTAATCCGCTAGTTTTAATTAAAGATGAGAGCACATTACGCGACCTGGATTGTTGCTGGTCTCTTTATAAAGTAGCAAAAGATTTTGCTGATTTTCAAGTAAGCAAATGAACTCAAGCCTATTTTAATATAATGTTCAGATGTTATCAACCTCTGTAAAAGTTCAGCTAAAACAAATGTGAGGTTTCAGCAGTCTCAATTAACATTAGCCCTTGTGCACAGATTATTGTCCCGCGTTTCTTTTATTGTAGCCGCCTTAGAAAGGAATAGCTTCTTTGCCAGTCAGGAGAGGAGGAACGATTACAGCGACCGGCCAACTCTCTCAACGATCATATGGCATGTAAGCATGGTATTAAAGGTAGGTGATGCATTTCAGAAGCATTGTTTGTTATATTTGTTGAAAGTCACTTTACATCCTAGCAGAAATCAATAAATCAAATGCTCTTTGGACTGCAGTTTTTTTTTATTATGTAGTCATCTCACTTACCAAAACAACAACTGATTCAAACGATGGATTTTTTTAAAGGAATACGGTTGGAGTCATGCTCACTGTCTGAGTGTTTTTCTATTCTTGGATATGAGTCTTACCTTTAAGTGAACATCCATGACCTGAGCATCATACTGCTGGTGTTGAGAGACGTAGAGTCCAGCCTGCTGTGCCAGTTGACAAAACAGTCTCAGAGTTTCACCACGCAGTGGAGCAAACACCAACGCCATGCCCTAGATAGAAAACGTGCACGGTTACATCTATGGGGTACTTCACACACATTTTCATACCTCATGTCTCATAATATTGGTTGTTTAGCTTTACACACACACAAAGACATAGACACATACACCTATGTATCTCTTTCCTTTGATTTTTAGAAAGTACATATTAAATGATAAACCAAAAATTAAAGCTCTACAATTCCAATTAAATGTAAACACACGTGTAAGTTTATATTGTCTACTCGTGTATGTAACACATACGAGTGTGTGTGAGAAAGACATGTATGCCCACATGCATCACAGACGTCTTGCAAATACTAAGAGGATTACCAACAGGTTCAAAGTTTCTTTGAAATCCTTCAGCTTTCAGTTTTATTTCATGTTGATCATGTTATTATTGTTTTAATTAAATGGAGCAAAGAGGGATGTTCACACAAACACACACATACAGCAAATACACTGACACAACACAAGCTAAATGAACACAAAGGCAGTGAAAACAGCAGGATCACTCCATTTGACAGATGATTTTTCATCTGTATATCCAGTTGCATTTTTTCCGACCCTCCCTCTCTCTGTAAAAACATAGCAAAAGCAAACAAACAGACACAATTCCTCCCAGCACTAATCAGCTGATTAAGGGGATCCAGCCCACCGGATGGACCACCTTTGTCAGAAACAACAAATTAGTGCCATTAGATGGGAGAATTAATTGCTTTGTTAATTGCTTAACCAGCTTAGCAAATTATTAAATATTTGGCAAAGCTTGTTGTGGCAGTGACAGTCTGATGGCCGACACTCAAATCATATTAGACCCTGAATTATCTCCACTGGATTAAAGAGAGAGAGACATGAAGAGAGACTTAACACACAGATGTACAACAATGGCCAGATGTCATGTCTGTCATTCGACCACAGCAGCTTCTGCATTCAACTGCAACCGAGACACATATTCAGGTTGTAGGTGTTACTGCGCATGTCGCTGCCTGAAATGTCAGCCGAGGAAACGCTGCCACTGCTGGCAACAACCTTAACACAATATTAATAATATAATCTTTCCTTTTGTCTTTCTAGTTACCTCTGCTGGTTTTCACAAAGATAATAAAGAAACTGGATTTAAACAGTCCACCCAGATTACAAAGAAACACATTTTCTCACTTACCTATTGTGGTATCTAGGCAAGCCGATAGTTTCAGTTTTATGTGCCCAAGTTTTATAACATCCGTTGGTGAGATTTCTTCCTCCACCACAATAGAATGGAAGTGAATGGAATTACATTTGAGGTGCTGACATCATTTAAAAATGACATTTAAAAAATACAACAGCAACTTCTCTTTCTAGAAACAGTGTCCCAGTTGTGATGGAAAATCCACAGGACATGTGGTCAGCAGTTTTCATTGGGACTATTTCTTCAGTAGAAAGTAGTTCTAGTGAAAACAGTCACAGAGAGGTATGTGACTTATTCAGAGAAACAGGGACAGTGTTTATGAAAGAACAGGTTGTTGATGAATTCAGATTATTTTCTGTTTTTTGTTTTGTTTATTTTGTTTTTTGTAATTTGGATAAATTGACTTTAATGAACTGGCGACTTTAATGAACTGGCGTTGAGCTGAAAACCACAATATAACCTGCATGTCTCTGGTTTGGCATCTATAAAACATTTCAAACAAGAAGAGAAATTATATATTAAATATTATTGTTTCTCCTTCCATCTGCATCTCTTCTCATTGTCTATCATTTCCACACCTTCATCATTCCCATTCATACCCCTTATTCCTCCTTTCATAATTTCTATCTCTCTCCTCCCTCACCTTTTCCTGTTTCCTCTCCTCCTCCTTCTTATCCCGATCTCCTTCTCTTCTGTGCTGTCTTCATCTCTTTTTCTTTTTCATAAACAGATATTACCTATATCAGTCTGGCCTCTCTACATAAAACGCACCCCTTTTCCCTCAGATGAATAGAAACCTCAACCCTATCTCTTCCAGTCTTTTGCTTTCCCCTCCATCCCATTTGCTTTGGCTGTCACAGCGTGGGGTCTTATCGCGAGGCCAAAAGGGAGAAGTTGCCTCTGATTTATGATGAAGGGAAGGCAGGAGAGAGAGACGGAGATCAGAGCGATGCATTCAAGTTGCTCATAATAAGCATTAAAGCATTACACGATATTAATCCTGTCAGACTATTAATGTGTATAGGGTTTTGGGCGAGGCCTAATTATGACTGAGAGGAGCTGGTGGTGATTTAGAGGAAGGGGATAAGCAGAGATATATACAGTAGACACACATGCGCACACACTTACGTTGGGTTGCAGTAATCTCCTTATAGCATCAACCAGGCAGCCTCTGTACTGGTCGAGAAACAAACTGAGAGGGAGAGGGAGAGTCAGGTTAGAATGCATTCTTATGATAGAAGCTCCAGATAAAGCAGCAGGCTATTTATTTTCTTTTGTTCACAAATAAATCCTCCAACAGGAAGAAAGGAAAAACAATTTGCATGAGTAAGATGCTCTGCTTTTTTGTTTACGTTTGAGTTTCCATGTGTATTCACCTCAGCCTGTTGTCGAGGCACCAAGAGGAATGCAGAACATCAGAAAATCCAATGTGCACAGATACCATCGCCTACAGTAAACACACACACACGTGTGTACACACAGACACACACACTTTACTGGGACACTTCAAAGCGGTGCAAAAGCACCTTGAATTTGTGGAATTAATACCTGGAGTGTGCGTTCTGAAGTTAATATGAAGATATAAGAACAAAAACAACACACAAAGGAAAACATGAAAATAAATAAATATGAACAAAATCAAATTAACTTGTTCCCATTTTACATTAAACACCACTGTACTGTAACTTGCATGTGTGTGTGTGTGTGNNGGGGGGGGGGGGGGGTGGAAGAGACAGTGTAAACATTAGAGCATTTGTGCATGTATGTTTTTCCATATGTGCAACTTCTAAAACAATAAGATTAGCACTACATTTAAACAATTCAGGGACCATATATAAAGATATCATTCTGCCACAGTATGACATGTAATTCGCAACTTAATAATTGGTTTAACTGATGATTAGCTATATAGTTAAGAGTGTGTTGTAGATCATTCATATGTATGTATGACTAGTGTGCATTTGTACAGTATGTCTGTTAGTTGAGTCACTGTGGTTGAGTGTATGTTTGCATGAAGAATTAAGTTATACACATAAACAAAAGGTGATTTAAATACTGATAATGCAAAGATGAGCGGATGATGTGAAGAGAACCGGCTCTGGTTGGAGTCACAAGTCTACAGGCATTTTTTTCTGAAGGGAAAGATTGTAAGAAAAAGAGAGAAAAGGAGGAAAACAAAGACATAGCAGACACTGCAAATTGTGAGATTCCACATTCCCCTGTGCATATTATTGTTTGATAGAACTCAAGTAGAGTCCTCCCGTTTAAATATTTTCTTGTGAACCTCCTGTATTTTTTTTCGAGAGAAAAAAAAGGTAGCCTGATGTATTTTCTATATTACCCTCCAGTAAAGCAGGTGGCATTAGGTAAAACATTAGCTGAAACATTTACTGATGAGAAGTCTTTAATCATGTGGCACCTACCAATACAAGAAGAAGAAGCACAAGGATGGATGAACATGAGAAGAATACCTGCCCAGAAGGCTAAAAGTTTATATTTCACCAAATGGGAGGAGTCTTACTCAGTCAGAGTCATGCTTTTTGTAAAATATGTTGGATTTTAGTGTATCACATGGAGGGAAAAGCGCTTTGAGCCGGCATGACAAATCTGCCAGACATAAGCGTGCAAGAGGTGCAGAAACATGCCCGACAAATTACTGTATTTACCGTATATACTATTAAGTGCTAAATTTAAATGCCCTTTTGTTTTTCTTTTATATAATACAACGATGTTCAACCAGGTATCTGATTCTGATCATCACTTACTTGTACAGTAGGCCTGTGGTGATTTTACAACTCACTGTGTGTACCCTTGTATAAATGTAACAGGTATGTGGACAGTGGTAGGGGTGGTAGGATGGCCGGAGTCACGGCACCAGAAAATTTCACTTATTTTCAAATCCCAATGTTGACAGGTATGCATGTGAGTTTTGAGTGCTCACACATTTCTTCCTCAAAAGCAAAATACAAACACGAAAGAGGATATCAAATTCAACAACTGACAAAACAGTTTATATGGTCAGTTATGTCATTACAATTGGTTCCTTGTATCAGGTCTTCATCCCAACATAATTCACTATTGAAAACAAGTTGATTTTAATGGATGCAGATACAGCAACACGCACACACAGGCCCAAATCAACTCCAATCATTCTAAACAAAGTAACACCTGTCTCTATATCCACAAAGACAAATTTCAATCCATTATCCAAGCAAGTAAAGCGGTGTGTGTGTGTGTGTGTGTGTGTGGGAGGGGTGTTTGCGTGTACCTATTATCACAGATGAGAGACGAGTAATTTGACTAAAATGCAACAATACAGTGCAGATTTGACATAATCCCACACATCCGTCCAACTGGCCAGTGGAGTGGCAATCTGGACGCAACTTTCCAATCACAGCCTCTGACCTTTCCTCATTCAAAATCCTCTGATCCCAGTGAGGAATGAGAGGTGCACGCACAGACTCTCCTCTCTGCATCTCTGCACAGACCTACACAGATATGTTTTTGTACATAGGATATGGGGCAGACATTTAAAAAAAAAGAAAGACAAAACAAAACCAGGAGCCACTATTACATGCTCTTACCCAAACCAGGATGGGTGTACGTATGTGTAAAGTTTATTGTTCTTCTAAGGTTAAACAGAAGTGCAAAGTTTATTTGACTTGAAAGGTGAGAGGTTTGTGTTTGGTTTATTTTGCCACAGATATCAGTTCACAGGAAAATGAGTGGTACGGAAAACAAGGAAGTGAGCTCGTTGGGTGGAGGTAACAGCTGAAACACACACAGACACTAACATACCGAGGGCAAAGAAAGGACACCATGTCATTAAGAGGGCAACAGAAGATTACTGATGAAAAGTTTACATTTAAAGATGTGTACAACTACTGTTATAACATTGTGACATGACATATAAAGCCATATACGTTACATTAAGTAACCATTACTGGTACAGCAGGAAACTCTCTTGTATTGTAAGTCATTTAGAAAAAATCCGAAGTTTAACTGCCAATTAAATAATTGATGATGAAGCTCTTAGTTTATTAGTGCAGGGACAGGTATTGTTAATTTTAATGGAAACTGGGTGAATAAAGGTTTATTCAAGGACCCCTTAGATAATAGAGATACGGAACAGGGACTTCCTACTACCTATATTGTATAAAACTGTGGTAAATATTGTGCATAGTGTATGTATAAAAATAAACATACCTTGTTATTTTCAGACATTAACATTTTTGAAAAAAAAAAAACGTTCAAAATAGTATAGAATTAAATAAATAATAATAAATAAAGAATATGCAACATTCACCTCATCTCGAGGGGAAGACAATGAAGGGTGTAATCTGAAACATTCTTTAAAAATAATGTTTTGTTTTTTTTTAAAAAATCACATTGCTATAGCAAGTTTGGCCTACATTAAGGTATATCACCAGCTTGCCAGTTAATAGTTATATATATATATATATATCATTGTCCATCATTGTTGGTTAATTTCAATTTTGATGTTTATTGAAAAAGTTTTGAAATTTGACAAATGTCATTATTATTCAATTCTATCACAATAAATAATTCTATCTTTTGATATTTTAGAGCTCTTTCAGTTATGTCAGGTACAAGTGTTGATTGACGGTCACAGTCGCAGTCTATTGCACTGTTGTGGAGAGTCACAGTTTAATAATGCCAGTATAATATTTATGGACTCTCAAATTGAGTGGTCTTCCCCTTTAAGGTCCCTTTAAGGTCACCTCTGGTGCCCCCAGACTGTCAGAGGCCTATTGTCTCAAACTGACCCCTCCCACCCAGAACAACCCAGCGAACTCCAGTGAAAACTGACAGGAGGTCAAAGGGCACGGAACGGGCGTGTGTGTGAGAGCCTTGCTGCTATATTTGTCTGCATAGACGTACGTGGATATACAGGATGTATCCAAAGCTGCAAGGGTGAGACCATGGAAACACATGACATCATCTATATATGCAATGGTGTTTATTTGTATACATTAGCAGGATATTAAAAAGGTATTGCCTAATTTATATCAGGTTTTGTGACACATACCATACTGTATCATATATTAGTCCATTTCAGGACTTCTGGTATCTGTTTGTCTTATATGCAAAATGAGGCAAACAAAAACACGAGGCAGTTTTCAGAACGAAACCTTCCCTCACTGTCGAGATTTGAACCAAAAACCTTTGAGTTACTAGTAATACTAACTTGATTAGTCCTCTTTAGTATGACTTCTGTTTCTGTGTATTTTGTATCAATTTGTTTCAGATTATTCTTCCCAGACCTTTCGGGAAAATTCACTCTTACCAAATGTGCTGAATCATCGATAACGAGACTAAGTGACAAAAAACATATAATCACTAAATATAAAGCTAGTGAAGTGCAATGCAATGTGTGTTACACTCTGACCCACTTAAAAAGAAGTTAATACCCAAACTGTCTAAGAATCAAAACACTGATCTCTTTCATCCTATTGAGAAGTATACGCAGGATGCAATGTTTGGTGTGTGTATGTGTGTGTGTGTGACTGTGTTTTTCTAATAACACTATTTTCACGTTTCTTGAACAAAGACACTAACCTGCTATAACAATCACTCTGTTGAAATGGGTAAAAAATGGAGACACCTTGTGTTTTTGTTAATTTTTTCATAAAAATTAATAATAAAATTAATTAACATATCATTGACATTGGTTATCAGCTTTTTTGGTTGTTAAACATTCAGAATTAGAACCATTTTAAATAGTTAATAACACAACCTGTTCAACACAACCTGAATGAGATCCTACAGAAGTTATAAACAGGTTAATGAAAATATTTCCCACCAACACAATCAAGCCCTGATTACGTGGGTGTGACTACAGTTTTTGTATGTGTCTTTTTTATTTATTTGAATCTTAGTATATATAATATATATATAAGTATATAAAGGATTTCTCATTACTTTAGTGGTGATAAAACAGTGTTATAATATAATTTCATTTAGAGAGGCACCAATCATTTTTCAAAACTAAAAAAAGCTAAACACTGTTTCAATGTCTGAGGAATTAGGAAACAAAGTTCTGCTGTAGAAGATGCCTACTGCAATTCTGACAGAAATTAAATGATGGAGACAGAGAAAAGACAAACAAAAGAGAGAGAAGACACAATGTTGAGTAAATGCAAAGTGTCTTAAAGTAAATTTTAAAGTAAAGTATACTGACTTAATTTGAAGCATTTATGTTTACTTCAGAATCCTTCAGATCCTTCAGAATTACCTGTTCTGATCTCAAGACAGTGGAAGGACACACTCATTTTTTTTGTAATAAATGAAACATAAATCATAAAAACAATGTTGTTTCTTTATTCTTATGATACTGCAAGCACCGAGTACTACTCGCTTGTTAATTGTTCTCAGTGGTTCAAAAGTACAACACACTGCATCACATATTATCTGACCTTCTGTCCAAGCTGGTGCTATTGAGCCAAGTTGTCACATAAATCTTTAACATGTGTTTGTGTGTGTGTGTGTGTTCATGTGTACATAACCAATGTGTCCAAATTGCTAATCTAATCCAATTCAGCTCTGAAGTGAAACTAAAAGAGGTGTGGTGTGTATAAAAAACAGCATAGATAAGACATAGATATAGTACAAAAAGAAAAATGCATGTGCACGTCACACGTCGAACGCACACACACTCACACACACACAGCTTTATCTCAGTGCCCACACATGGACAGCTTTTGGAGAAAGCAGACATGCAACATCCCAGCCAAGGATCCTCTGCCACCCACATGCCACTGCAGGGAATCCCTCTCTCTCCTCTCCTTGTCACACACACACACACACACACACACACACACAAACAACACATGAGGAGGCACCCAACACTCCACTATTCCTGCACTATGTCTGTCTTTCTCTCTGTGAATCACGTCTTGATTACCTTTGGAAACTGATAAGACGAGTTAAAGACAGCTAGTTGTAATGTCATAAAAGACATTTAAAAGATGAGCACAGAGAAACTTTCCACTTTCAGCAGATGAATGTGAAAACATCCTTCTAGTGTCAAACTCTGCACATACATCATTCTGCACAGTGATGGTGAAATATCCAAGTGAAATAATAATAAGCAAAATACATTTTGGAGCGGGGTTTAATTGAAAATATTCATTAACTGAATGTCTTTCCTTCCATGTTTTATTTTAATTTCTTTGATTTCTCTCTCATTTCTTTCACCCATCTTATTTCTGTCATCCTTGCAGCTTTACTGTATACTCTACACCTCCTCTTGTTTGTTCCATGAAGTTAAGCCCTATTTGCTTAGATAGGTTAGACTGGCAGAGAAAGGGGAACAAGAGGTGCATTTCAAAAGTAAAATTTAATATTTTCAGAAAGTGGGTGAGCAGTGGTGCTCAATTTTACAATTTTTTTAAAAATTGGTATGACTACTGTATAAACTATGTATATATATATATACTGTATATAGAGGACACACAACATTTTTCTCATCAAAGGTTATTCATTTTCAGAAGAAGTCATTTTAAGTGTAGCACTATTTTTATTAAAAGCTATTGTGACCTACTATAGCTGGCCGTGATATTTACTATCTAGAGACCACGTCTCGCAGTATACTAACCGATGTTTCAGACCTTGAATTACGTTTTTCACAACTGTGACATCACACAGAGAGTCAATTCATAATGTCTAATTTAAGTGGTACAATTTCATCACGTTAAAAAGTGTTGAGCAGTACCAGATCCATACTTAACAGCACTTAAATAACATGTTAAACAAGACTCCACAATGATTCTTTTGCATATTACCCCTTCTTAAAAAATAGGCAGAATATCCAAAGAAGTACATAACGGACTACTGATATACAATGTTACACCAAACTCTTCTCCTGCCCATACTCCCCTCCTCACTTCTGCTCCCTTCTCCTCTCAGCGGTGGTTCCATTGCTACCGGTAGGAGCTATAATTAATGAGAGTGGAAGCCACGTTGTTGACCTTTTCGTAGGTGATCATCCCCATGATGCACCCGTTAATCGGTCAGCCATCACTCTTCAACCACCGCCACTGCAATTATCGCACAATCACTCACTCACATACACACGCAGGAAAGATGGCACCACACAGTAAAACATCTTGCAGCACACACACTGCACAGACCCATCAATAAAGCGTGAATCTCTGCTGAGAGAAAGAATATGCAATATCAAAAAATTCACATGCAATTTACTCTGTTCTCACACTATCTGCATCTATCTGTCGTACACACGTGTGCAGATACACTTGTCCACTGTAAAATATCCTCTATTAGCTGCCTGCTCTCTTTCTCTCTCTGGGTGTTGTACCTGACTATTACCTGTAATGACCGTGACATTACAATAATGATAACGGCGTTTGCTAATGCTGCACTTAGCACACATGCACACACTCGTGCAGACAGATACACACATACTGTACACAAGCTAATTTTGTTCGGTGTTTGTGAAGCTGGTAAATAGTAGTAAGTACTTTCACTTCAACCAACAGCATGTCCATCTTCTCAGCGTGTTTTTTTTTTTTTGTGGCGATGTGTGTATGAGAGTGTGCAGGTGTGGTGGTAAACTGACGTAAGTGTGTTTACCTGCCTCTAAAAATCTGAAATACAGCTTAAAGGACGTAGGTGGTCTCCTGTTCCATAACCAGTCCTAAAAAAGGGGAGCCACCATGCCTGTCTTCCAGTCCTTAGGCACCGTTCTGAACCTCCATGGATATTAAAAAGACATCAGTGTCTCAGAAGGCCTGATGCTAAAGTACCTTAAATGTCGGACAATATAACCAGTCAAGGTAAGCAGTTCTCTTCACATTCCTTCTCCCTCCAGAGTCATTTAAAGGTTTTCCTGAACCAAACTTAAGATCCCTTTCTAGTCCTGCACAAACTCTTCTCACACCGGAGGTTTTGCTTCCACAACCACAAAACCTGCACCTCCTGATATCTGTCTGCTGATTTTGAGGTCTGCTGCATGTGTTACCCCCTTACAAGTTTCTACATAAATGCTCATTTAAACACTGGAGTCCCTCAGCAGGACGCCAGCCAGAGAAAGGCCAGATACTTAAAATGATACACACTTGGTTGGTTGGAACATTTGCTTTAAATGTAGATAATTCTTCTTTTTTTTGTCATAAAATATATATTGGCAGATTTACAGTGTAGGTTCACAAGCAAAATCATTATAACCCTAAATGTTGATAAATATGTCTCTAATAAAATAGTAAATAACAGATCATGATTTATTTTATTATTTTCCTCCCTGTAGTAGATACTGAAGGCATGTACTGGCTGGGCAAAGGGTGTAGTTGTTGGAAAGAGCAACTTACCCTTTTATTTACTACTGCATCTCCTTTGTGTGTGTGTGTGTGTGTGTGTGTGTGTGTGTAAACTGGTCAAGGTTGCACAATCCATCCACTTTGATTGATTTGGTACAAAGAAAAAGAAAAGTGTTTTACAGGAGCAATTAAACTCTCAATGCCTTCACAGATGATTCTTTCTTTTCCTATGCAGCGTACACAGAAAATCCTGATGCATTTTATCTCACACAGTACAAATGAGTGATAAAAAAGATGTAATTCTTGATTGGCCAGAAGATCTACATTTCAATGACCGATGGGCTAATTGTTATGTTTATGTTGTTCTATCTCTCCATTTCCATCTCCATTTCTACTCCTCCCTCCATCCGCCCTCAACTCTTTCTTTATCTTACTGTGTCTCCTTCCTTGTCAAGGCGCAATTATTTGCAATTTGCCTAAGTCATCCATTTGCTGGGACACCAAGCATGAAAACGAGGCAATTTGGTGTAAAATGGAGGCAGGCAAGCATCTGAGCATATGTATGTATGTGTGTGTGT